TTGGTTAAAAACTGGAGCTTTGCAAACACACGGGAGTGTGAGTCTCTGCTTTGCCCTCACCAGCTGCGTGATCTTAACACAGTGGCTGGGAGACCCCAGCTGTGCTTGCTGTGTGGTCTCGGGCAAGTTACCTCCCCACTCTGTGACTGGGCCTGGTCCTCTATAGAGTGAGAATAAGAGCGTTTATGTGTCACGCTCTGTCCGCTGCTGTGGGAGTAAACGGAGGGAAGAAGGTCTGTGCCTGCCTGCGGCACTCAGCGCTGGCTTTGCCGACAGCAGAGGCCGCTCCCAGCGGTAAGAAAGAAAGATCCCTTCTCCTTTGAGACCACATGGAGGGACCTGGGGAGTATGATCCTAAGCGAAACAAGCCAAGCAGAGAAAGACAAATATCACATGATCTCACTTATTTGTGGAATATAGTGAACAAAACAAGCTGAGGAACAAAATAGACCCAGAGACATAGAAGTAGGGGACAGACTGACAACCCTCAGAAGAGAGGGGTTGGGAAGAGGGAAGAGATAAACCACAGAACTTATATGTACGTATGCGTAACCACCGACATAGACAACGATGCTGGGGCAGGGCGGGGATGGGGAGGAGGGTGTCAATGGAGGAAAAATAAAAAACATCTGTAACAAAAATAAATTAATAAAAAGATTAAAAATTAAAAAAAGAGAGAAAGGCCCGCTCCCCGCGAGGAGAGCCCGCCCTGACCGGCGCGGCCCCTCATGCTGCGGTACCTCCCACCAGGGGCTCAGGGGCTCGGCTCATGGACTCTCCTTGCTCGGCTTTCCTTGCACAACAGCTTGGGACCCAGCTGACCCCTGAGTTGCTGACCTCTGTTAGCACATCCCCCAGGACAGAGCATCTCCAGATCTGCCGGCACAATGACTCACGCGGTAAGCGCCCTGGCCTGCCACGGGCCCCTCAAGTGTCCCTGGCCGCCCTCCTCTCCATGCCTGTCCCCAGGCCAGAAGCCCTGCCATGGGAACTGCTCCCGGTGCCCCTAAGCACTCGCCACTTGGTAAATCCAGGCCTTTGCGCGTGTGCTTCCTTCCCACTGCCGGAATGCCGTTCCCCCACCTCCGCCTGGAAAACTCCTGTTCCTTAGCAGTTAGGTCAAATTCCCTTCCCAAAGCCTTTCCCAACTCCAGAGCCCTGTCCTTTTCTCCCATGCCCCGGCACAAGTTTATTCTCTATACTGTGACCTTCTCCAGGAATAAGGTAGGGTCCCCAGTGTCCTGCACACAGTAGGCGATGGGACCCTTGGTAAAGTCTGTGACCGTGGGTCAGCCTGGTTCAGCGGCACAGAGGGGCGGAACTCCTGCAGACACCCTGCACCCGCCACGCTGGTGCCCTGCGGAGGCCTGGTGTGCCTCTCTGCAAAAGGCCCTAACACCTTCTCCTCCAACGTCAGCTCCCGTCTCTCCTTCCGGGACTTCACCTCAGGCTTCCCGCCTTCGTGCAGGGGTCATCGGTCCCATCCCTAGTCTAATCAAGTCAAAAGGGAAAACATTATCCATTGGCTTAGAGATCCTAAATCACCATTTCATGAGGGAACACAATCCTCTTAGTTGTTAGACATACCAGTGGTACATTCTCCGTTGCTACGGCGACCCTTGGACGTAGCCCTCTTGCCTGCCCGCTGCAGGCCCTCTGCAGGCAGGAGGGCGGCTTGGCTGTCAGAGGCGAGGCTCACCTCCCGGCCCAGAGGCCACGTGGTTTGGAGAAGCACAGGTGCGCCCTCGTTAGCTGTGCAACCCTCCAATTGGGGAACACCCGCGGTCCACGTGGCCCGAGCTACTTGTCCAGGAAGACGGCTTCTATCAGAGGAAAATCACGGCATCTTTCTTCTTATGGTCTATTTCCTCTTTGAAATTCATCTTGAGTCAGCAAAGCTGCATGGAATGCAGGGCACCCCTGGCTCTGCCGTCACACTCGCACACGCACACGCACACGCACTCGCACACGCACACACCTCCCCTCTCCTCCTGGTCACTGGTGCTGGTAGTCAGGGTGGAGTTCCTCCCACATGGTACAGATTCATTCTCCTCTGTCTCCACGTTCCTCCCATTCCCATGAGACTCTCACACAGGTTCATTCCTTTAAAAGTTTATTTCCGGTGAATAAAAAAATAATTTATGTGACCAGATCAATAGAGTGAAGACATTATGACATGCAGCAGAGTTTAACTTCCCTATTTGGTTCTGGATTTTGCAGCTCAGTAAGAAGGCAGCTGAGCGAGCCCAGCCTCCTGGGCCGGGAGACAGCGACGGGCTACCCACCCGTGGGTGCTCCCGGAGGGCTGGGAGGGGGGCTCAGAGGAGGGCCGAACTCGCACCTCTTGTACAAGAAAGGAATGCACTGTTTGTTTTTCAAGTGGTCAACAGAAGCTCTATCACGTGCCTGTTCCTAACGACCATAAACACAACATGCCCAGCAGATGCTCAGAAAGACAGAGCAGTTGTCTCAGGGACTTTTAAACATGATACTTGGAGACCCTGAGGGAAGACACCTGCCCCCGAGGCCACCCCGAGGCCACCCCGAGGCCGGCACTTGGAGACAGTGGGGAGGGGGACCTGCGCCTCCAGCACACTGTCAGGCCCTTTGGCTTCCTGAGCTCCACTGCCTCAGCCTGAAGAGGACATGTGCCCCCAATTCCTGGGGTTCTCAGAAGGCTCCCAAGCAGCCGTTGTCATGGCTGGCAGAGGGGTGCTTTCTCCAGGAGTCTGAGAGCTGAACAGCCTGTGCTGGGTCTTCAGGGCAGAATCTCCAGGGGCCCTGCCAAAACCTGCACTCAGAGCTGGGGGAGCCTTGGGGTTCACTGCCAAGGAGGAGGCGGGCTCCTTGGTGGGGAGACCGGAGTCCCCAGGAGTGGAGGCTCACACCATCACCCTGCTGCCTGGTCTCCCAGCGAGGCTGTGGCCTTGGGACTACTTTGGTGGCAGGGTTCACTCTCTTTTGGTTATAACATATGGATAAACTAGGAATGGCTCTGGTTGCCTGTAAACCCACTGACTGGTAAGCCCTCGGAAAGCAAGCAGGGCAGGCCGGCGAGAAGCCCGAAGGGACTCCGTGATCCCGCACCGCTCCAGCCGCTCACCCGGGCCCCGGCCCCGACGGAGGGCTGCCCAGGACTCTCGGTACCCGCTCGCCCAGGTCACAGGGCTGCACCAGTCTGACGCCAGCAGTTTACACAGGGCTAGCTGTTTCAAATGGGGCTTTAGCATTCTCTTGAAAGGCAGAACCAACAAAATCCAAACTCCCAAATCACTGGGCGGTTCTGAAGTCCAGTTCAAGTTCCTTTTCTGACCTCGAGAGACAGCAATGCCCAGGCGCACAGATCAGCCCAAGGCTCCAAGCCCGCGTCCGCTCCCCTCCCGGGGCACACCCACAGCCCCCCTCACCCAGGTGCACTGCTCCGGCTCAGGCCGGGCCATTTTACACTGAGACCACGCTCGTTAGAAGCTCTGCAATGTCAACTCACCCAAAAGGCAACTCCTATCGACATTATTTCCCTTTGAAGAACCAGAAGCCCCCCTCAATGCCTGGAACACCTGCCGTGGCCCCGGTACGTGACGCCCAGAGCACAGCCTTCCAACCACCCGAGACGAGGGCAGGCCGCGCAGCCGTGAGCACGCGCGTGTGGGGTGGACCCGGAAGGGGCAGGCGGGTCCTGGCAGAACACTCGGACAGGGCACTGTGCCGTCCGTCAGAAATACACCTGGCTCCATGCCTGTGCTGTCACGGAGGACGGCCTTTCCAGGTGGCTTGTCTCCGGAGGCTTTTCTCTGTCAAATGCAGCAGGGGTTTCAGTGACTGAGGCAGGGACAGAGAACTCGCTGCCTGTCCCAGCCTGGCTCCTGGGATGCCAGGATGTGACAGGGGACAGGTGGAAGGGAAGAAGCCACTGTGCAGCCTGGAGGGAAAGGGAGTGTGGGCGAGGCACGGAGGGGGGCCCCCGAGTCCTGTGATGAGGGTGTCATCACAGCCTGACTGTGAGCCTGGGGGTCTGACCCTCAGGAGTCCCAGAAAGCACCCTATGCGCGTCCAGAGTCGTGTCTCGGGGGACAAGCCCCAGTCCACCGGTCTCTGTTCACCCTGAAGCATGAGGGGGGCCACCCAGGTCGGAGATGAGGAGCTGCCCTCAAAAGGGGCGAGCCCAGGACTCACCGGCTGGCTCCTCCTCATAGCCGGCGCCTCCACCCCGCCCTATGCGCTCCCCACCTGCGTATGTTGCCGCTGTGTCCTCCAGCTTTCTACTTGTCTGGGAAACAGTGATGTGTGGTGCTAACGAGCCTCATAAATATGAGGAACTGCCAAGGGTTTCATTACCCTGTAAAACCACGACGGACTAGTCTGCTAAAGCGAGGCCCTTGGCAAGGTCTGCAGGTGGCACCTTTTGCGGACCAAGGCATCAGGGCTCCCCTGGGTGCAATTCTGACACTGTGCTGTGGACGTGGTGGACGTGGTGCTGCGTTACTGCAGAGACGTCATCAGCTTAGAACACCACACGCCCCCCCTCACCATTGTCTCCCCTCCGTGAATTCTTTCAGACACTTGCTCCCTGGCATTACGACCTGTCCCACAAACCACTTCATGTGCTATCTTGGGTCAAGGCTCAGATTACAGGTAAATTCAAGGTCTTAAAATGCCCTTCCAAGGAGAGGGCTCCGAAAAGAGAGAGCGTGCATGTCTGTGTGTGTGTGTGTGTGTGGGGGGGGGGGATATAAAATTCTAGAAGAGTGACATCCAGAAGATGGACCCTGAAAATATCACATAGCTGCACATAGAAGATGCAATAATAAGCAAAACCGTTTTGTTAAAGGTTCTTATTGCTTTTAGGATGCATCTAGCTTTTAGGAATAGCAAGACAGGAAAAATGTCCACCTTAGGAAGGAGGGAAGGTAACACACTTTTAAACAAATGCCTTCCAAGTCTGAACTCTGACCACTGTAAGAGCAGAGAAGCCGATGCGGTCCACCAAGGAGCTGCTTTATTTCGGCTGAATCCTCCCCTTGCATGCTCACCGGGGGATGTTGAGCTGCCTGTCATCGGGGGCCGTGGGTTTGTGTGATGGACTCGTAGGAACTGAAACAGCCTCTGCAGAGTAAGGAGCCCACACACTTTATTACAGCCCCTGCTCACCAAGCCCTGACCGTGACCCCACACCTCTGCCCTTTGGATTATGGGAGAAAAAATAACCGTTCGATTTTCTGGGCCACAGAATACAAGATGGGTCTGGATGGTACAGGGAGCGTACACACGGAGGCAAGGAGGCGTGCACACAGGGACCGGAGGTCCTGCCCCTGCGGGAGCCAGCGCTTCACACAGGAGGCTGGCCCTGGTCGTCCTCCACAGTCCACGCTGGTTCCCGTTTCTGTCTTTTATTAATGTGTTCAACTCCCCCTCCCCCCACCTCCTGAGAGGGAGAGGAGGGTCTGGGCATCTACGGCATCCATGATTTCTTCGAGCCATTATTGTTTTTCCTATTAAGATTTCACGACAGGCCCAGGGTGGGCCTAGAGGACTGACAGAAAGCACAGGTGTCTGAGGATGACATAATACTGACTTCTCTTTTTTGGTAACAGTCCACGACATGTGCGCCCCTCTCTCCTGAGATATGTGAGGCAGGAGGGAGGCGGCGGAGGAGCTGTGGGTGGGACACTGTACCGTGTGACATCACGATCATGCAGCTGGTGCCCGACAGGACAGCGGTGTGAGCACGAGCACGCAGGGTGGCCCGGGGGCGGCGGCTTCCCGGTGAGCGCCCCGCCTCTCAGGAACACTGTCTGTCCAGTTCTCGCAGAGCCGTCCCCAGGGGCTCGCCAGCGTGGCTCTGGCCTTAGCCTTCGTCCTCCCTCAGCTCGGTGGGTAGGAATTTATACTGCTGCTGGCGGATCTGGGCCAGCTTTTTCCTTGCTTCTTCCAGTTCTCGCTCTTTCTTCAGCATTTCCTCCTGGGCAGCGATAATCTAGAAGGAAAGCAACACGCTGGGTGGATGTGAAACTTTCTAGGAAACAGCTCCCCCTCCACTGCTCGCCTCCTGAGCTCCCACAGCGTCTGCTACAGTGGGACGCAGCAGTGCTCTGATACAAGCCTCCGGTCCGCCTTTGGGCTTTGAGACCGACGACCCAGTTGACCCAAGGAAACAAGCTGACTTCTGGCCACTGATCTAATAGCAAACATACGTCATCCCGACTATGCACTGGGCTCTGGTAGGCACTCTGGGTGGAGTGTCCCATTATCTTCTGGGCAACACTGTGAACTATGCCCATCGACATCCGTTTCCCAAGGAGGAACCTGAAACTGACAGCAGCCACTTCCCGGAAGTCCCCTCGCTAGTGGGGCAGAACCTGGCCCAGGTATTCAAGCCAAAGCTGGAGTCGTGAACTACTGGATGACTTTCATGTATTTATTTCATGCTTCTGCGGTCTGATCTGAGGAATATTAGTACATAGGTATGTGAAAAAGGTAAATTTGTATGCAAGGAAGTCAAATAGACTTCTTTCCTGTGGGCCTTCTCAGAGCCTTTACCAGGCTGGTGATCACTGTGCTACGCCGAGGTGGGGGTAGAGGGGGCAGTATCCCACAGACTTGTTTGATCAGAGACCCTTCTTCATGGAACTTCCCATGGAACTAGTATATTAAGAAATAGGATCTGGCCCTGGCCAGTTTGGCTCAGCGGTTAGAGCGTCGACCTGCGGTCCGGAGAGACCCGGGTTCGGTTCCCGCTAAGGGCACGTACTTCGGTTGCAGTTTGTCCCTGGCCCTGGTTGGTCGTGCGGGTGGCAGCCACTCGATGTGTCCCTTTCATGTCGATGTTTCTCTCTCTCTCTCCCTCCCACTCTATCTGTACAGAAAATGGAAAAAATATCCTCGGGTGAGGATAAAAAAAAAAAAGAAATAGGATCTGGTAAGAGTGGATCCAGTGTATTTCCAAAGACAGGGACTGGTTCAGGAAGAGCTAAGGCAGGCACAGGACTGAGTGACTTCAGTGGCAGGGTCTCGGTGCCCCTGGCGCTCAGACCAGGGGAGCGGATCTGTGCCAGCACACAGCCGGAAGAGCAAGCCTGACTCCCCGAAGTGCCCTCCTCATTCCCACGCGCATGAATGCAACCTGGCGAACGTTGGGCTACTCCCCTCCTACCTGGTCTACTCTCAGAAACATGGTGGGGAGGGGTCACCATTCATTCTCTCTTTTGAACCAAATATCTTGAGTGGGTAGCAGAGCCAACTGCATACTTTTATTTACATGATAGTATCACTGTCCTCCCATTTCTCTCCTCCTTTTTTAATAATAGAACCCCTGATTTTCAGCTAGGCATGGGACTAAGAATACGGCACCGCCCAGCCTCCTTTACAGTGAGGCCGGCCCTGTGACTGAGTGCTGACCAATGGCAAGTGAGAGGAAGTGAGGGATGCAACTTCAGGACGGCGCCGGCCCCTCCTCTACCTCCTCTTGCTGGCTGGAGAGCCCAGGTGGTACTGAGCTGTCCTGGACCAAGTGGCCAAGGGCAACATCTCAGGGACGGTTCAGCAATAGGGACATAAAGTCTGGGTTTCAGGCACAAAACCACCACTGCACCATTCCTAGACTGTCACACGGGAGAAATACACGATCGTCTTGCTTGAATCACTGGTACTGCGTGTCTCTGTTATAACACAATGCCAATCGTGGGCGTGCGCACTGTCCGGATTTCATCACAAACCTGAGCAATGCCCCCTACGAATTTTGTTTTCACTACAACATCGTCATCATCAGCTTTGCCAAACGCTGCCTTCTGGGCGGCACGAACAAGATTGTCGGAGGCTCTTTTCACAGCATTTCCTGCCGCCTGGAGGGGACACAAAACACACATCACGGCATTAGAAACAGCTGTGAGGATCACGCAGGAACAGACATGAAGGCACAGTTCATGGGACTATGAATCTATTTATCACTCAATTATAACACATGACTTCTCTCTAGTTAGTATCCATCTGTGTGTCCATCCATCCGTCTGTTTGTCCGTCCATCCATCCACTGATTCTACCAACATTGGCACCTACCTAATCTTAGCTCATTCACAGATGAATGAAATCCAGTTCCTGGCCCCCGAGGAGCACGCAGTTTTGAGGGGAATTACAACTATGTAAACAGATGATTGCAGCACTGTGATGTGTTAATTTAGACGTGCTTGAGGACTCTGCTCAGACATCACTTTCTCTGTCCCCCTCGGACCTGCCCTCCCCGCGCTCCCGGAGTGCTCTGTGCTGGCCTCCCTGCAGCCCTCACCACACTTGCTGCCTTTCTCCCCCTGGACGGTGAACAACTTGAGGCAGGGCTGTGACTGAATCTCTGCACCCCCAGCATCTGGCCCAGTGGCTGCCCAGGGCTGGCGCTCACTGAATGTGTTTTGGTCAAATAAGGGCCATGAAGGCACAACCTACCCCTGCATGGAAGGGCTGGGAGCCCCACAGTTAACACGGACGTTAGAGATGTACGTCCAGGGTCAGAGCTGGGCTTCACGCTACCTGCTGAAACGGGCGGTTGGAAAGACAGGTGAAGGGAAGCTTTTCCGTGTGGAGGCAGGATCTGCAGGAAGGGGTACGCCCACATGTGCTTACTCTGAATGCTGGGGACTCGTCTTCTGCCGCCTGAGGTTTGGGATTATCTCGCGACGGTGGTCAAAGCTTTATTAAACCTCCTGAATTCCTTGCCCAGCGCCCTCAGAGTCAAGGATTTGAGCTTGGGGGTTAAACCTCAGAAACTTGAGAGTTTTTCTCATTCAACATTCACTGGCTCATCGGGTAGGTGAGCTCACGTGACACAGAGGGACTGCGAGGGCCTGCACAGGCGGGAAAGGGAAGCCAACCCATCTTCCACAATAGTTGTCATGTGCTTACTCACAAAACAGCTTTACAAGGTCAGAACTCATTAGCCCACCTTTCTGCTGTCGAAACTGAAGTAACTTGTCTAAGATCCTGTAGCTCATAAGTTATAGAGCTGGGATTTGAATAGGTCTGTCTCTAGCCCCAGAGAACCTCTGGGTCATTGTAAGGAACTCACACATGACATTGCAGCATCCAGCTAAGTCGGCAACAGTGATAACAAGGATGCAGTATTGTATCTGTGTAGAGCCTGAGGCTTACAAAAGCATGTTCACATGCAGTGCAGGTATCTCCATTCCCATTTTACAGATGAGGCAAACTAAGGCCGAACAGTTTTGAGTGATTTGTGTATGATCACACACTGCATACATGGCAGAGGCAGGACTTTAACCCCAGTCTCTCTTAACTCAGGAAGTTGTCCTCAAACATGTTCCCCAAACCCAGGAACCACACATTCACAAACGTGCTGCTCCCCACTTTCCCCTGGGGTTACCCTGGGAATCAGATGAAGGGGAGGGAGGTGTGTCAGACTCTCAGGAGGACCAAACGGCAGAAATGTACTTTAGGACCTCCAGCATAAAATAAGAGTTCTGAGCTTTGGTGGAATTATTCAAATATTTCTGCCACTTATGAAAAATTACTCATGATTTATATAAAGATTTTTTTTAGAACATAAACAATCTGCATTATAACACTTATAATAAAAATCTAGAAAACTGAAAACAAAATGTCCAAAGTATAGGGAGATTCTGGCATAATCAGTTGATGTAATATCATGCAATCATTACAAATGAGACTCATGAAGAATGGACCAGTTAGCTTTGCACAGAGAAATCATGAAGACGTTCCTTCAAGGAAAAAGATATGCATGATAAAATGTTCAGTGAAAAAAGCAGGATGTCTCTTGCTATGATTACAACCAGACACGATTATTTTGTACACAGATAAACACAGGAAAAATAGTAACATTTGACTTGTAATGATATTGAGGCTGTGTGACTTTTTATTCAAACGTTTCTTTCGCTGTGTTTAACATACTCTGTAATTAAAACCATCAAGAAGACACGCACTGAGAAGGACTCGACTGTCACCTTCCCAAGCCTGTTCTCTGGGCTCTGGGGACGTTAGCGCACCCCAGTCCTCGCCTCCCTTCGCTAGCAGGGAGTGAGGGCTCCCACTGCAACAGGCACCGTCTCAGGCGTGCGAGATGCAAAGACAAGGATTCGGTGCCACCTTGTCAGAGACAGATCTAAAGACGCATGGGGCAGGCCAGGTAACAGGAACTGGAAGAGGGGTCTGGCTGGGGACTCTGGCAGGAAAGAGGAGGGGCTGACTGCCTGAGGCCTGGGGGTCAGGAAGGGCTTCCCAGGAGAGGTGACTGTGGAGTTGAGTCATGGGGGACAAGCTGGAGTTCCCCGGCTAGGCTGGTGGGGAGGGGCCCCGAGGCACGAGACCAGAAGGCACAGGTGGAGAATGTCAGCTTGGTGGGGCAGCAGGGCGCGGGATGCATGGTCGCACGTGGCAGGAAATGAGAAAAGTGGGACAGAGTTGGCTGATGGAAGGCCTGGTGGGTCATGCCAAGGAAGTGAGACTGTCCCCTCTGGCGACACTTACCCGCTCCAACAGGAGTATTTTCCCACCAGCATCAGTGACCATTACCTGTAGCCGCCTCATGGCCTCTGAGTCCTGATCGGCCTTCACCTTGCAGGCCACAAGCAGCTGAGCCGTGGAAGCGGCGACCTGCTTGGCGGATGAGATGAGCTTTTCCTCGCTGGCATGTCCCTGCACAGAGGCATTGGCCGCCTCGCAGAGACTGCTGGTCGCAGCTGCCACCATGCGGGCCTAGGACAGTCAACAGAGACATGACCCCAGGCCCAAACCTCCCGCAGGGGCCCCAAAAAGCAATTGGGGAGAAAGGAGAAGGCGACTCACGGCAGAAATAAGCCCTTGTGACCACTGTCCGTCATCCGCAGCATTGGCGGGGATGGATCCCACCTAGAGAGTGGAGGTTAGACATCTGCAATCAGAGCTGGAAGGACAGGTGACTGCAGCCCCTTAGACTCTGCACTGCCCGGAACTAGCGAGAACCCCCCTCAGACACACAGCACCACCAGGGACTCCATCAGCGCAGCACCCTTTCCCAGGCGGGATGCTGGCCCCGAGACTGCAGCAGCACAGCCGGGCTGGTCCCCCGGGCCACAGGAGTCCCTCAGCACAGCCTGGCTGGTCCCCGGGCCACAGGAGTCCCTCTGAAATGCTCGAACAGCCTCCGCTTAGTTGCCGGTATTGTTTCTGGGAAAAGGGCTCAGGAATGACAGGTCGGGCTGTTTTCACTCACTCATTTCCTTTGCCGACCTTTCTCCCTTTCAGACATGGGAGCCCGAGGCCTCTCCTTTCAAGGGCCAAGGGAAACTTAATTCTCTCCCGATCACAGAACCTGAAACCACACTGTGATTTTGCTGGGAGATGAGGCGAAAATGGGTGGTACATTTCCTTCAGTAAAATTAAGTGCAGACCCTGAAGGCAATACAGACTGTTGGGTGGTGGTGGGCAGGGGGAGAGAATTAAGAGGCTAGATGTAAGATGATCTCTGTTTCTCTCTAGAAATTATGGTAACACGTGAAATATTTTCTATTCAGACGGAGAGAGAGTATCTGAGAGGATACACCTTTACACTTGGGGGAGGTGAGGGGAGAGGTAATTGATGACTCTATTTGAATATGAAATCGAGGATCTGTGATGATTACAGGAATCACATCGGAGCTTGGTGAATGCCAGGTAAACCCCGAGATCCTGCATATAAGCCTGTAGTCCACCCAAGTCCAGTGGAACCTCCTTTTCCAACCTTTTAAATGCTTGGCCACCTGAGTGTCTTGGAGGACAGGGGCTCTGTCACGTCCAGGTTAGATTCCCTCCACTCCAGCAGCGTGTGTCTGGCACAAAGTTGGCCCTTTATCAATGAACTGAAATTTTTAGATAGGATATTCTTCTCCGTGATCCACTTTGCTCTTTACGTACTGATGGGTGAACAAGCACTTGGTAAGTAAGGTTCGCCCGCACTATGTCTACAGGAGGTAAGTGGGAAACCACGGAGCAGACTGCAGGCCACTCAGGAAGACGTGCGTATGTTAACACTGGATAACATACCACACGATGCTGCAGGAACAAAAGCCAGGGTATGTGGTTTGAGAGGAAGATGAGGCTAACTCACAAGAGACTTCCTGGAGGAAGACGGCCGGCCACGGTTGGGCACAACCTCTCTGTGCTACGCTCTCGGGTCGAGGCGCAGTCCTACCTATCTGCACGCTGCAGCCACGGCCTTCCGCTGGCAAACAGAGTGACTGCCAATTGTGAGGACCCAACTTCCCAAACCCACAACATGACAGGGTTTCTGTGGTGCCTTTGTAGCTGAGAGGCTCTCTGCAGACGCAGCTTGGATGAGGGGTTTTCAGGTTGTACGGGAAAAACGGGACATGAGTACTTTAAATTGGAAGACCTTCCCATAGCCAGGATTAATCAAATGTACTGTTCATTCTTTGGATTATTGGAAAAAAAAATACTACACTTTTCTGCTAATACAGACGGAATGGGCGACAGGAGATGAAGCACATCCCAAACATCTCAGGTTTAAAACCGGACTGGTCTTTTGGCTAACAGGCTCCCTCGGAGTTGGACAGCATTTAGCTACATGGTGCTAAAAAAATGAATGGAGCCATTGGGCTTGGAAGATAGTATTATAAAGCCCCTGACTATGGTGCTTCACAGCCATCCACCAGGAAAAAGTGACAGCTACGTCTTTAAATAGCCTAGGGTACCGTGGGAACACGCATGTCTTGCTCAGGCACTGATCGCTGCCCAGAGTGGGATGCTTTCCTTAACCAGAAGCAGATGAGAGGCCGGAAGCCAAACCCGGCCCTCTGTTGGTCAGGGTTAAGCGGAGTTTGCAGTCAGCTGGACTGGCAATTCCGTGAGGGAAGGCCCAGCACTGGTCCCGCGGGCAGGCCGCAGCGTCCCATCGCTCCCTCCCAGGCTCACCCTGTGATCGTCCCACTGCTCGGCCAGCGGTTCGCCTACCTTTCCCTGGGCCACCAGCTCCCTCTGGGCTGCCGAGGCCGATTTGACCAGGGCACTGGTGGCAGCAGCAATGGATTTAGCAGCTTCCAAGATCTGTTCTTCAAAATCCAGGGTCTCGTCCGCTTGCTAGAACCAAAAGAAGACAGCGTCACGTGCAATTCATGTCCACAGAGGGCGCTTTCTGCAAACTACCTACTGCTGGGCCCCGGCTCTCGTCGGTCCGCAGACCAGACGGCTTTTTGTTGACAACCACGCCCGGGGCAGAAGGGCCCAGGCTGGCAGGCTGGCCCCCCACCTGCTGCCTCCGGGGCCCCTCTCGGAAAGGGGAAAGCTGCCGGCACTGACAGGCTGCACATGTTAAGTCAGGACATTCTAAGGCAGACTATTTTTCTGGGCCAGAATCTTTAGAGACATAAATTCACTGTGAGTAAAATACCTTGAATGGTTCCATCAGCATAAATAACCAAAATCAAAATAATCAAAACCCAAAGAGTGGGTGGGTGGTGGCACGTTCCTCCAAGGCTTAAGGCTCAAAAACAGGCTGGGAAAAGGAAAGATGGCCATCAGTCGGGAAAGACCTTATTTTTCTGGGGTAAAACAAAAGCAAAATCGCATTTGCATTTTTGTGGCTGAGCATGAGGACAGTTACCTACCAACCAAAGATCACCCACTGAGGGAAAAGAAACCCATCAAGGCGGGATTTGTTCAGTCACGGAACCCAGGCCTGGTTGCTCGGGAAGAGCACGGCCACCACGCCCCCTGCTGCCGGAACAACGGGGCGGCTGAGAAGCTTTTGGGAAGTGGGGCAAACGTGAAGACCTGGGTCCTGGGCTCGCTGGGATGGAGCACCACCATCTGGGGTGGTCAGACTAGATGACGTTCAAGGTCAACGTCGAGCACTAACATTCTGTCAATATGGTTAAGTTCCCCATAGGCCCCGGAATGTTGAAGACGTGGCTGGTACCTTTCAGGTATTAAGAGGTGATGGTCAGGCGTAGCAGTCCTTTGCTTTGTACGTGTGTGATAAAATACGCACAACATCAATTTACCCTTTGGCCCAGTGTTAAGTGTACGAGTCAGTGGCATTCAGTACATTTGCAATGTGGTACAATAGCAATTCGGTTTTAAAAGTGCCTACTATGTGCCAAGCATTGTTAGGCACTTTTTTTGTACATTAACTTGTTTTCACCAAAAAAGAGAAAAAAATAATCGTATACCATAGTTATCTACATCCTTTCTGTACGGTGAGAAAATTGAAGCTCAGGGAGGTAGAGAGCTGGGGCCAAGGTCATGTGGCAGCATGAAAAAGGTAAACCAGACCGAACCTAAGTCTCTCTGACTCTGTAATGATATGTTTCACTAGCCAAAGGCTAGCCCCCGCCCCCGCCCCAGGGCATCGGTAAGGAATAATTTCGGGTCAGCGACTCCGTCGGCTCGCTAATGTCCACTATGAGTCATCAGACAGGACGGGGACGTGGACACAGCTCCTTCCAGTTCCCTATTCTTAATGGTCACATCTGGAAAGATGAGAGATGCCAATCTCATTTCCGTTCGTACAACCCGATTGTCAAGGTGACATGCAGTGGATCTGAAGGACGGCCGCAGCAGGGAAGTTCTGAGGCAGAAGCTGTGTCCTCTCTCTTTTCCCTGACAGCCTGGCCCTAGGGGCACTGAGGACACACATGGATTCAGTCCCAGTGGGACCACTTTGGATTCCTGGTTATGGGGCGGGGGCGGGGAGCGGTAGAGGCAGAATATAAAATCCGTTTACTGAAATACAAAAATGACTCCTTATCAGACACTCTGGCATGGAAGGTGTTGTCACGCTCAGGCCCCACAGAGATGACAGGCTGTGACACATGTATTCAATGACCTTGTATTAAGAGCTTTTTTGAAAAGTCATTCTGCAAAAGAAAGTCAAGCATACAATAGATTAAAGCACGGAGGAAATCACAGACTTTGTATTCCAAAGGGAGCCCCCCTCGTTTTGCTGATCAGACTCAGGACCACAGTGGCTCCCAGAAGTTCCCTGCCCTCCTGACTCAGGTGGCCTCGGCCACATCATGCGTTCCAGGATTTCGTCCACTTCACAGGGTGGAGTGCCCATCAGCAGATTGTTGATTCCCGAATTTTAGTTCACAAATACAGAATTTCCTTAAAATGAAGTGCTGACTCTAAGCTTGGATAGATCTGCTCGGATCATCTCATTAGAACTGATTTGAAAGGCCTCTCCTGTCTTCTGCTGCCCTGCAGACTTTTTTTTTTTTTTTGGTAAAACATACTTAAAATAGTGATTTAATTTTGAAATATTTTTGATACCCACTCATTTTTCTTATAATGGCAACTGCTGTAAAAATTATTTCATGGATTTTTCTTTTTCTTTCCATAACATCTCTGTACTTTAAAATGGACACAGCAGAAAGCCTCATTTCTGGGACACATTTGCTCTGATTAAAAAGAACTGGAGAGTTTCCCAAGAAAGGCTTCATAAAGCCGACGGGCGGCAACGGGGATGGAGGGTGACCCTTCAGCCGCTGCGGGTTGGGCGGAGTTCCATGAAGACCTGCCCTCTGCCGGCTGGGCCCACGCCTTTCTGCAGGCAGGTCATCAGGAGCCCTACCCGCACCCTGCCTCCCCTGCTGCGGACAGACAGCACACCTGACGTTCCCTCACAGCACCCAACTTCTAGCCCAGAGCACAGGGCTCCCCACACAAGGCGGCTTGGTGAAAGCCAAGCACCCCCGTCGGCGCTCCCATTAGCTTCGGCTCCCCCAGCGCAGAGGGGGGTCTGGGAGAGGGGTGTGAGAGAAAAGAGGACATGCTTGACCACACAGCAAAAAGGAGACAAGTGCAATCGGCTTGCTCTTCGAGGGACTTTCCTAAAAAAAAAGGATCACAATTAAAGTGCTGGATCTGTTAACAGAGCTGGGAGATTGGGGAGAATAAGAACAGAAAGGAGGAGCTGCTACAGGGGACCTGGGTGGAGACCCTGGAGACCCAGGGCACCCCCGACTGGAAGGTCGGGCTCCTCTCACTGAGCCCTCAGTCTGTTCTGCTCATCAGAGAGGCTCCGTTGGTTGGTCTCCTAAGATCCTCTTTAGCCAAGGTATTTTATTAATCTGACCAATGCTTCCCAAATCTGTCCCTCTGGTTTACCGAAGACTGAGTGAAATCTTTACTCCTGAATCCCCCACCCCCCAACAACTGGAGGTGTTAAGAGTGTTAAACTAATCTTTTGAAGACTGTAATTAACAGGGGATCCTCTTAAAGTTGCAGACTGTTTCAGTAGGTCTGAGGTGGGGCCCTGGAACCTGCATTTCCAATGGAGGTGTTCCAGGCAACTCTCTGGGAAATGCTGGCCTGGGTCAAGGAAAAACAGACACTGGTTAACTGAATCCTACCAGCCTGTGATCTCCTCCAGGGCACAGACTGTGTTTTATTCAACTTCTGCATCTTGAGCATAGAATCAGACAGAAACCCATGTGATAAATGCTTGGTGAATGAATGTATTCATTCAAAGTGAGTCTCGCAAGTTCTAGAGTTCAGCCAGAGGGCAATGTACATGCTTACAGAAGGAGACAGGCACCGAGTGAGCACCCACATCAGTAACTGTCCGTCCCGATTCCCGGGGGATGGAGGCACTCCATCTACGCGCAGGCTCCGGCCCCACTTGAGGCTGCGGTTCACTGCACACTGTGCCTGCGTCCTTCAACCAGCTTTCACAGTTGGTGACACTCAGTCATGCACATACAGATGTAAACACAGTGGCACTTTCTGCATTTTACCAAGAGACTCTCTTAATAAAACAGTGCAAAATAACAGATGTGCAAACTAAGAATCTATTCTGCTTAATGATGGTGTTAGCTGGAGCCTCTGAGTGCTAACCCTCTTTTCTCATCCCGAGCCATGTTCTTTCCCTGTTCCCCTCCACTAGGTCACCACTAGCTCTTGACTGTCTTTCCCGGGCTGCCTAGCAGGCTAGCCGAGGACGGGCTTCTCCTCACCTCGGGTGTTTGGTAGCTTCGAGAATGGGTTAAGCTCCCTTTGGCTGATGTTTTTCCTGTTTGGTGATTTCATGCAGTTTCCCTTTTACAAAGTCTGGTGAATTACTTCTTGGGAAAGACTGCCCTTTGGGTTGGCTCCCTCCCTGCCTGCTCCCCACACTTGGAGAGCTTTGAGAGTTTCATTCCGGTCTGAAGTTTGGGGAGCCTGAGGTTCCACTGGGGTAGAAGAGGAGAAAGAAGGGTTGAGAGGGGACAGAAAACAGGAGGCCTTTCATTTTTATAGCGTTTTTTGCCTTTCAAGGATTCTGAGAACACAGTTTTTGCAGCAATTAATTCATTTTCTCAAACCCCTTCCCTCCTACCTATCTGATAAGGGTTGTTATAAGTAAATTATTAACATACACAGAACGTAACTGACTCATAGTAAACGTTCATTATCTACTAGCAATCAATTTCATTATTATTTCTGCTACTACATATATTTTTTGTGGTCTTAAAAATTATTTTTCTAGAGGAGGGAAAGAAGGGGAATGGAGGACATCTGTAATACTGCCAACAATAAAAATAAAATGTAAAGAAATTGTTTCAGACTTTAGACTGAGCTAGTCTGTTTTCCCTTTTGGAATGCTGTTTTCCACTCATAATTCTAATAACAGTTCTACTAGCCTTTTCTGATTAAAACCTAAAATAATTACAAGTAGAAAACACAAACCAAAGATAAATGAGGCGTCAAGCGGCTCCTGGCTTCCCCGTCAGCACCAGACCAGGAGATGGGTAACCCGGCTTTAGCCACTGATCTGCACTTTCTGACCCTGACTTTGGGAACTCGCTGCCAGTCTCTGGTACCGATCGGCTTTCTGTCTGTAACTCAAGCAGCAACTCAATCCTCCTGGTCCTTTAGCTTAGATTATGTTGTGGTTCCAAATTAAACCCTTCTGAGAAGGCACTGACTAAAATAAGCAGGGAATCCTTTTTCTCCTTCCTCTCTGTTGGCCTCCTCCATGGAGGAGCCCTGTCTCCTTCCTGCAGCGTCTTTAAGGACCCTGCCAACCCCGTCCTCCCTCCCCGACAGGTCCCAGCCCAGGTGCAGGGCACGGCAACAGTGTTTCCATCTGTGGGCCT